CAGAAGCGGCAGGGCACCTCCGTCTTTTCCTTCTTCCTTGATGACCCGCACCATATTCCACTTTGTTTCTCCCCCTTCTTTTTTGAAGTCCCCTGTCCGCCACCAGCACACAAATGAATCCCCTGTTCTCTTCACTGGAACTACAAACAACAAACAAACAACAACAGAGTGAAATAAAGCCGAGACGTGTAATTTGTAATGGACGTTGAGACCTCACACGCGGATCCCTACCACCCAAAAAGGGAACAACAACAAAAACGAAAAAAAAAAAAAAAAAAAAAAAAAAACAATGAAAAAAAGAGGAAGGGGGAGGAAAAAAAAAAAAAAAAGAAAAAACTCTCTTCTACAAATGAATGCGTTCAATCTTTTGCATAAATATAGTAAAAAGAAAAAAAAAAGAAGAAGAATAAGAAAAAAACAATCCAAAATGAGGTGTTGACCACAAAATATGTTTGGTCAAAGAGAAATTATGGCGGCAGCCACAAAAAATCACAAATATAAAACAAAAAAAAAAAACAACTGCAAGCTCAGCCTGTCAACTCCTCCAACCTATAAGATTATGTGCACTACTGCAAGTAACATCGCTCCGTGACTCAAAGGTGAAACTCTTCCTTCACAAAACAAAAATTTAACCGCGTCGTCGACGCGCACCCACCAGAAAATCATACGACCACTCCCTTAGTGTAGAAGGCGCCAAGATCAACTGAAAACAATCACCATCAATGCGGTTGCCGTCCCATCCACCAAATATAATAATTTTTCCTCGAGAAGAACGAGCAGCAGCATGCGAGCGGCGACCGGGCGGCATGAAACTTAGCGTACGCTCCGCAAACAACGACTGACACCCTCGAAGAGCGGCAGGTAAGTGACTTAACGCAGTGTAATTTAATTGCGATGTTCTTTCCGTCTCCAATGTTTCATCCTCTGAGGCTTGCAGAGAGAGCACAGGGATTCCAATCGAATTGTCGGAGAAATCCCTACTCAAAAGACTCCATTCACAGGAGCAGAAGTTGTACATAAAGCAATCACCAGGAGTGTTTCCAAACTGAAACTTATCGGTCCCACCAAACACGACCATATAATGGGACAATACACATGCAGTATGCCCAAAGCGTGGAGGTGGGACAACACTACCCCACACCTTTACGCGACGCCATACAAATGTGGAGAGGTTCAACTCCCACAAAGTATTATCGCTCACGGGAGAAAAAAGGACCCCGCCAAAAACATACAGGCTCCTTCCCATTTCTGCATCGGTGGTCCTCGGCGTGACACGCGACACAGTGGCATCACTCCTTCCATCTGCAGATGATGTTGGGTCCGGGTACACCACGGCCGAATGGCAGTAACGCGGCGCTGGAATCTCCATTAGAGAACCCTGCAGATCTGTTCTGCGGGTCTCCACACACTTCCACTGTAATGCGTTTTCATCCAGCACCCATACATCATTGAAGGAGACGACACCATGCCCACCAAAGAGAATGGCCTTTCCCTCCGCCGTGGGCGCCAATGTATGTGAGCGACGAGGACTCGGCCATCCGAGGGAAGAAGTTTCACGGGTTGTGTTTGCTGCTGCTGCTGCTGCTGTTGTTGTTGTTGTTGTGGCAAAGTTCCAAGTGGAACTGCCTACCACTGGACGGATGGAATTAGGAGGGGGGGAATGCATATCCACTCGCTGGAAAACCGCCTGAAGTGTCTTCGTCCACTTACTCAGTGAAGTGAAATACAAGTCATTAAAAGCTTCTCTATTATTCGAACCGCCAAAAATAATGACGCCCCTGCCGTCCAACATGCGGTGCGCGGAGTGACCAAAACGACCGCTTGGTACATCCCCCACAACCTCCAGCTGGAAGAATTTAATTTCCGCGTCGTACAGTCTCAAAATCCATGCATCGTTCAGATATTCCTTAGCCTGTGAAACACCACCAAAAAGAAACAAAACATCCTGTTGTATCTCAGTGAGGGAATGGCCGTAGCGCGCGACAGGGCAGCAACTCTCTACATCCATCCGCTCGGAGCCAGCGGCATGACGGTCACCATGACACTCGGCGTGGGGGGAACAATTCAGTCGTCTGCAGTGCAGCCTGGATGAGGGAATGATCATACCTTGTCGGACACATGGGGCAGGGAGGCTGGAAGTCCCCTCCACAACGTCCTCTACAGGATCCGCCTCCATTTGTCGCTCCCTCCACAGAAACAAAGAGAAACGCTTTCAGGTAAAAAAAAAAAAAAAAAAAGGAAAAAAGGAACCCTAAAATATATTTATTTACATATATATAAGGGTGTAAACATATATATATATATATATGTATATTTCCTTCTGTAAACAATTCCCTTCTTACTTGACGTGTCTGAAATATGTCACTCACGCACACTTTATTACGCCACTGCACACTTCCTCCCAAGAACCCACTCATCGAAAGGGAGGGGAAAAAAGAAAAGAAAAAAAGAAAAGAATTTTTTTTTTTTTTTTTTTTTTTACAAGCCACACGTGAGAAGACCACCGTCTCACACAAACATCCACCGCGGGAGGGCAAATTGGGCATAAAGACACACGGAATACGCCATAAATAAATTAAATACGTAAATAAACCGGAAATAATAAATCCCTCATACAATCATAATAAAACTTCGGGTCAAATTAAATAATAAATAAATAAATATTCAAAAGGGAAAAAAAAAAAAAAAACCCAAACCAAATCAAACCAAACCAAACAAACTTCTTAAAATAGCAGGTTAGTCCATCTTGCAGCGACGCATTTTTTTTTTTTTTTTCTTCTCGGCGGCACAGGTGTGGGCCTCAAGCCGGAAAGACACCAGCAAAGTGCAGAATCGCACCGTCGGCGTCCATTTCAAACAGCGATGCACCGATCCACCGGCGGCGAAAAAGAAGAGACAGACGAAAACAAAACAAAACAAAACAAAAAAAAACAAAAACCGAAAAAAAAAAAAAATCCATGCGGAGTAATGCCACACACGCAGGCAGTCACAGGCAGACAGGCGTACGGGAAGAGGGAAAAATAAACGTAACAAAAAAACAAAAAACAAACAAACAAAAAAACGTGGCCGTTTTGCTCCTCTCCCCTCCTCCCCTCCTCCCCAGACACACACACACAAAAAGACAGAAGAAAATAAATAATAAAAAAAAGGGTCGGGAGAGAAGTGACATGAGCGAAAAGCCGAATTATAATTATTTTTGTTTGTTTTCTCCCTTCTTGTCAGTCGCTCCCCCCCCCCCCCCTCCCAGCCACCGAATTTTCCCCCCTTTTCCCCCCTAAACAAAACAAAACAAAACAACAAAAAAATAATGAACAAAACAGGCGTCACTCACACACGCACGCAACTCCTTTTTTTTTTTTTTTTTCGTCACCTCAAAATCCCCCCCGGTGAATACAGAGCGAGAGGAAAAAAAAAAAAAAAAAAACAAAAAAAGAACCAAAAAAAAAAAAAAACCACACCGAGAGGCATCCTTGCGTTGTGTGTGTGCGTGAGAGAGAGAGAGAGAGAGAGAGAGAGATGGAGATATCTGCTAAAGTAATACAATTAAGCAGGCAGACATATAAATAAAATAAATAAATGTGAGGGTGAGAGTGATGCATGTCAACAAATATTGGCAATAAAAGAACCATTAATAACCAAAACCTACTGAAATTAAAAGGGAAAAAAAAAAAAAAAAAAAAAAAAAAAAAAAAGAGAAGCAAAAAGAATCCCAATAACAAACGGAAAAACGTGACTTTTTCAAAGCAATAACAAAAAAACAAAGAATTTTTCTTTTCTTTTTTCTTTTTTCGCACAAACAAGTACACACACACACACCAAAGGATGCACACATCAATGCAAATAATAAGTATGCGTCATCTTACAGTCTTTATGCGAAGGGCCCGGGGTCACTGTTTTTTTCAGTGTCGTTCCGGTTACCCCGATTCAAATAATTCTCCTCCCGACTGAAGTTTTCTTCATTTGTGCCGTTTTCACTTGTGATTTCTTCCTCATTTTTCCTGTTAAATAACAAATCAATCTCCTCTAGCGTAAGTCCTTTTGTTTCTACCACAAATAACTGGATAAAGACAGCTGCAAAGGCAATACACCCACAGATAACGCTGAAAGTACCCCCCACCCCAATAGAGCCCATTAAGATTGGAAATACCTGAGAGACAAGGGCATTTGAGGCCCAGTTGCACATGGTTGCCAAAGATGCCGCCGTGCTGCGTAAATGATTTGGAAAGATTTCGCCCATAACGACCCACGGCATGGCTCCAAGACCTGGGGCAAAAAAGATAAGGTACACGCCTAGTAACGACAGGAAAACCCATCCTCCAATCGAGTACGGAATTTGATTACCCAAGAAAAAACCGACGGCCGTCATTGCAATCGTTATGACAAGACAGGCATTCGCACTTATCTGCAACAATATACGTCTTCCCCATCGATCCACAGTAAAAAGACCGCTTATGGTGGAGACAGCATTTATGCCCGCAAGTGGAATCGACAAGATAACGGGAGTTTTGGGATCCTTAAAACCGGCATCATACAATATAACTGCACTGTAGTACATGATTGTATTAATGCCGGAAGCTTGTTGTAAAACGTGGAGCATGCATCCAATGAGCAAACGACGTCGCATTGCCTTCTTGAAGATTCCGCTGTAATTAATTGCAAAGTTCTCGGAACATTCAGATTCATCGGATCTGCATATATCCACTTCAAACCTTTCGGCCAGCTTAAATGCATTTTCCCGATCACCTTTTGCAAGTAACCATCGTGGGCTCTCCGGCAGAAAGAAAACAAGCCCAACCAATTGAACTATTGCTGGCAATGCACCCAGACCAAGGGCCACACGCCACCCAACTTTTAATGGATGTAAACTGTACGAGCAATGCGGTCACGACAGAAGCAATGAATTGTGCGCCTGTAAGAGAAACGCCGTTAAACACAACGGTAGCTCCGCGCGATTCGGCGGAAGTAATTTCAGAAAGATACACGGGGACTGTAACAGACGAAATACCAATACCAAGTCCCACAACGGCACGCCCGACAAGCACCATCTCCACATTCACTGCGACAGCCATAAGAAGGGATCCAGCGGCAAACAAGAGGTCAGCCATGGCAATACAAGTCCGTCGTCCAAAGCGTAGTGACGCAATTCCGGGAATAAATGCTCCCACAAAGGCACCGATAACGGCAATACTCACAATGAGACCCGCCTTCCAGGAGTGCTCTGAAAAGCCAAAGTAATCTTTCATCTGGAAGAGGGCCCCGTTGATAACACTTGTGTCATAACCAAAAAGGAAACCGCCAAGAGCGGCAAAAAATTTTATACTCAGTCGCATATCAACCAAAACAACTCGGATGTCACTTTCTCTTCTTCTTTTGCCTTTTTTTTCTTTTTTTTTTTTTTCTTTTCCTTTTGTTTTGTTTTGTAATTCCTATTTCAGTTTCTCTTGCCTTACGTTCTCCTTTTGATTTGCCTGTGAGTGGATTCGCTTCCGTTTTTTTTTTTTTTTTTCTTTTTTTTTCCTTCAATTTTTATTTACGGCGTTGTTGTAATTTAAAAACTCCCCTCGCCCACCACCTTCACCCTTCTTTTCTTTCCTTCTTGAGCCGAGAAATGCGCAGCGGCCTTTTGGGGGGTTCACGGCGAGTACAAACAACTCTTTTTTTTTCCTTTTGGAACAGGCGGTAAGAGATGGAGAGAAGTTTTTGTACGGGAGTTTCGCGGATGCGTGGAGCGGGAGACAAAAACAACAAAAAAAAGAAAAAAAAAAAAGAAAAGAAGTGGAAGTAATCATCACACACACACACACACCGACAACAACAATGGGAAGAGAAGGCGGCTGCAAGTACCAACAGACTTTAAACCGACAAAAAAAAAACTGGGCTCATGTCTGGGCGGCACACACATCGTCTAAAAGAAAGAAAGAAAGAAAGAAGGAAAAGAAAATAGTTCAATAAGAATTTAACAACCAAAACAAAAAAATGATCATGCGAAGTGTACAATGCTGGAAAATAATGTGTGTTTTTATTTAAGCGGGTGTTAACATCTAAAAGTGTTGCGTTGCGGTGATGGGGGGGCGGTGAGTGAAAGACGTCGCAGCCCTCTACTCGTCGGCCGGCCAGTTCCCCTCTCCTCCTCCCCCTCGCCCCTATTGAAGTCTCGTATTGCGAATGTAAAAAAGAAAAAAGAAAAAAAGACAACTTTGTAGGGAGGTCCTGCCGCACATTGGACTCGGTGGAAAGACAACCATTCAATGTCCACTCGGCCACAGCACGGATCAAATTTATTTCCCCTCCCCCCCTTTCCTTTGTTTTCTTCAACCCCTCCGCCTCACTCTTGTCTCTCATTGAATGTTCATGACGAGAGAAGAGCAAGTGGTGGTGGTGGTGGAAAGTGAACGTGTGCAGTACGTTGCGTCATGTACAAAAATACTCGTCGAGACGGGGGAGTAAATAAATAGATAAGAAAACAACAACAACAACAACAAAATAAATAAGTTCTAACTGTGCGGCAAACGTGAAACTATCCGTGCAATTAGTGTAAATCCACAGCGGCTCCGTCAATTTTCCATTATTTTCGCATTATTCCTCCCATAAAGAGTTGTCCACAATTCTTTCTTTAATTCCTTTCCTTCCCTTTCCCTCCCCCGCTTCAATTAGGGCTCATCGACGGCTACTGCGCTGCTCTCTGCGTTGTCGGAGCTGTCGTTTAGCCGGTAGATAAGAGACTGATGGGGTGACGCAAAAAGTATCTTGCGCACAGGCGGTGAGTCAACATCATGACGACAGGAATGGGAATCATCATCCAATAACACGCGTGGCCCCGTTGGGCAACCACCACCACATGCATCTCCCCCCAGTACGACTCTTTCAAATAATAAGTTGGTCCGTGCATTCCCAAGCGTGATTTTAGAGGATGGGGTCCATCGCAGCATCTTTCCATGCGGAGAAACGGTTGTGGCCAGAGTGCTAGCAGCAGGAGCAGCAGTAGCGGTAGCAGTATGCATCTTGTTGGCACTCATAGAACTGCCACGACACTTGACAGAAGTCGCCGGGCTAAAACATAACGCCACGGGAGAAATAGGTGGACCAATCGTTTTGGGATTATCATCTTTTCCCTGTGCACTCATCCCGCCTGCTTTGGGAGTAAAGGAGGAGAAAGAGAGAGGGACGGCGGCGCTGCAGGCACCCCATCCGCCACTACGACGACGCGAGGCATTAATGCTCTCATGATGCGACTTCATACAAGTAGAAGCAGCTCTTGGAGTCAGACTCCCGCTAAACGAGGAGGACCACACGCTGCATCGTCGTCCAGAGCAAGACAGGTTGGGGTCCGACAAGTTCAGGCCACACTTGACACGCGAAAAGACACCCGCGATTGCCCTCTGAGACCGTTTGGCGGGTGTGCTACAAACGGGGCGGAAAGTGAACCGAGTCGTATCCACCGGCCTGCAGCAGCGGGGTCGCAGAGGAAACGTCACCTCCATATTTTCGCTGTCAACACCATATTTATGCCGAATGGGATCAAAAAAAGGATGCTTCAATGCCTCACTTGCTGTCAAACGCTTTTTTGGGTCGAGTGCAAGAAGCCCCTTCAACAACTCAAGAAACGCCGTTGACGGGGCAGAAAGACTGTCAAACAATGTCGTCTCACGTATTTTTTCTGGGTAAAATTGAAATTCCGTGCCAAGTTTTGCATAAATCTGATGAAGGACCTGCAGGTCTGTGGAGCCGCAAAAGGCAACAGACCCGGTGCTCAGTTCAAATAATGTGCAGCCCAGAGCCCACATGTCACACGCAAAGTAGTCCTCAGCACGGCCCATGAGCTGCTCTGGGGATTTATAGTACAAAGTCCCACGCCCACTCCCCACTTTCGTGCTCTCATGCATGAAGTGTGCTGCACTGAAGTCCCCAAGAGCAGCCTTGAAGTATTTCTGCTCTTCTTCCTTCTCTTCGGAGAAAAAGACATTGTTGAGCCGGCGTTCTATGTGCGTGCTGCCAAGCCCTGCTCCAGGCATTGCGGGGAAACACTGTTCAGCGGCATTGACAATCATTTTTGCCGCATTTACCCGCCGGAGAAGAATGTTACTTGGCTTGATGTCACGGTGGGCGACGCCGCGTCGATGAAGATGGGCAATTGCAGAAGCCACACTATAAAGCAATGGGCACGCAATATCTTCCTTCATAAAAGCCGTATTGGCCGCACGCAGTTCTCTCCCAACATCGCTGTCCATGAGCTCCATGGCGAAGAATGTGACCCTGCTTGGGGAGGTGTAACTACCGAGGAACTTTACAATGTGATGGTGTGGCCCAAGGTACTGCAGGATCGTACTCTCGCAGGGCGAACGGGCAACAGAAGGAATCCGTCCCCACGCAGGAGAACTCTTTTTCTCCCTCCCTTCTTCACTTATATTTTCCTTCTCCAGCTCCGCCGTCACCCCCTTCACCTCCACCATTTCTTCATCTTCTTTTTCCTCAAAAATGCCGTCGCTGTCATCATGCATATCATCGTCGTAGATTTGACTGTTGTTGCTTAGATCGCTGCTGCAGCTGACGTGGCCGTCCACATCCCTCAGCAGATTGTCATCATCATCATCCTTTTCAAATGTCAGTGTTGCCGTCCTTGCGCTTGTGGGCCTTTTCCCATGATGGGCAACACAGGAACAATGATGATGATGACGATGATGATAGCAACGGTGGCCTGCCAGACGCGCACACTGCAAAGGACTTCTTCCACATTCTGCCGCTCCTTTTGCAAAGAGACGCTTCACTGCCACGAGCTCACGGGTGCAATGGTGCTGTGCGAGAAACACCGTCCCACTGCCACCGGAGCCCAGCTTCAGCTTGCATACGTCAAACGCAAACTCTCCGCTTTTTGTCCCACGGGGTGAGAAGGTCATCCGAGCAATCCCCTGTCTCTCCCTCTCTCTCTCTATTGCCCACCCTCACGACAACGGAGCGCCCCTCTCTCAACACCACCCGCGTTGCCGGTTACTAATCGTCCACACACAAAAAAAAAAAAAGTGAAAAAAAAAAAAAAAAAAAAATGAAGGGCGATTTCACCAAGAACGTTCAAAGAACAATACATGGCTGCTCCAGAGGTGGGTACTAGCAGTAAAGGCAGATAAATCACAAACGAATGCACATATATATATATATATATATATTCAAGAATTAAGCGTGGGAGGTACAGAAGATAGCGCCAGAAAAAGTTTCAACAAATACAAACCATTGCTAGCAGGCCCCTGAGGGAATGCTCACTTTCTCAATGGCAAGACTGGGCAATACGACATGTCCGCATTCATCGTCCATCTCACTCAACAAAAGTTGCTTACACCTTTGAGCATCCCGCAGGCGACGCCGTGAAAGAATTGCATCCATAAATATCACATAACTCCTCTCTGTTGTGCAATTGGCTGCGATGGATGCAAGCACCTCCTCACAAAAAAAGTTATTGAGCCCTTGTAAACCTAAATGCGTTGCTTCACTTATGTTATTCGACTCCATTAGAGATCCCTCATCTAAAAAGAGACGACATATCAATCGACACAAAGAAATACTCGTGAACTCGTCATTTACCAACGTCCAGAGTGCAAGAATTTTACTACGGGACGGCACACATAGTTCCACCGATGGCGGTGAGCAGATCGCATTCGACTCATACGCATGTCTTCGCAAAAGGCTGCGCATTCGAGTCGAGTGAGACGGGGACTCCAAAGGCACAAGAAGACGCGTCGTGTGACTCTCGGTGGTCAGTCGCACCATGTTCAGGACCCACTGTGTCGTGTCGCCATCATGGCCGAACACCTCTTCCACAAGTTGCTGAACGGTGGCAAAGTGTACGCCACAGTCAAGGGCGGCAGCACAAGTAGGAATGCAGTGTGCAGGCGTCAATAGCCCAGAGGCGGCGGCCACACGCAGTACGGCAAGTGATCGATGGCCCATCCACGCCTCTCTGCGCATTCCCACACCCGTGCGCATCGTGCGACAAATGACGGTGACCGCATCTTCCAGAGCCCACGGATTTTCCTTAAACAACAAGGCAAGGACAGGGCTGTCAACAGAAAGATGGTTCCATACCAACCGTGCAGCCTTCTCGTCATGGCCCATTCGTCGCAGCCGTCGCAGCAAAGGCATGCAACAGCGAACAAAAGGAACATGTACTTTAAAACTACAAAACGTCAGCGCCAACTCGCAAAAAACCATCAGTGGCGACAAATTTAATCGCTGCAAAAGACGCGGATATCGCAGTAGCGCACAACTCCACCTTCTCCGCGACAGAGACCGCGATGAGCGAAGTTGTGAGATGAAAAAACTCCGCAACTGGCTCTGATTTTTCGTCAATTCTGAAGTACGTTTTTTACCCCGCCTATGCCTCGGTAAGATGTGTTCTACAGGGCCAAATAGAGCGTCTACCAGAGTTGCCGCCTGAAAAGCCTGCTGTAGAATGTGGGAGTCGGGCAGCACGAGGTCCTTCACTTCGGTCCAAAGCTTCCCTGACGGGCCAATCCCCTTCTTGTAAAGACACCGAATCTCATTTCGTGGCATGGAAAGAATTTCTGCAGGACCACACTGTGTGGGATGAACAAATCCACTGAGGAAGGCCGGACCAATCTGCTGCAAAAGATTCTCGTCGTAGGAGGGGCTCGGCTCAATGACATTAACAAAGTCTTCTTGTAGAATAAATGGGATGAGACACGGGGATTGTGCGCCTTGCGGCCTGGTTGCCAGTGCCGTTGCATTGATCCAACTGAGCTTCTCGTAGACCGGGACGACACCTTCATCTTGCATGGAAAGTTCATGCACGGCCTTTACAAGTAACAGCCGTGTTCGTTGCATGCCAAGCGCTGAGAGAAACGGATAACTATCCTCGCTAGTCACACCCACCGACGGCTCAGAAGAAGACGCATTTGTGTGAGGACCGGGTTGTCGCTGCAGCCGATGTTTTTGTTCCATCAACGATTGATGGAGTACCGACACAACAGTTCGTAACGTCTCCACGTCCCCAATGACGCCTAATGTCTTTATTGTCCTACGCATCCAATTCGTTGCCCGTGACTTTGCGCGGATTGTTGTCCTTGCCTCCGGATGCTGCCATGAGTGCATCAATTCCACTCCCATTGCAAATTGTCCGGCCTCAAACAGAATTGCCACACACTGCGCCGCAAGGGGGAGTGGAAGTTGGTGCATCTGCCACGCAATGTCACGTTGCGGGCCGGATTGAGAGAACTTAATGACCGCCAGGGCACTACTCCACGTGTCGCTGACGCCATGAAGCGCAGCCGTTGACGGTTCTACCTCCCTTGTCGCCGGTGTGTGTTCTTCATCTTTTTCTTGTTGTTTCTGTTGCCATCCGTCCCTATTCACCGCTGGCACAAGGCGGCCGGCCACAGCGATGCTTGAAACGAGAGAAGTCTGTGCGGCGGGGCCCACTGCGACCCGAGCGCACACCTTCTCTATCGCCTTCAGCCAACTCATCCGCGGCAGGCAGACAGGCCGCCAATACACCGCCTCCTCCCCCTGAGATGTACTTTTGTGTGTGTGTGTGTGTGTGTGTGTGTGGTACTACCAACGCCCCCGCTCCACCTCCGGTTGAGGTGAAACGGTCATGACAAGCGGGGAAAGAAGAAAAAGTCTCCAGGACGTCCATGGACACAAAAAGAAAAAACAACAACAAAAACACCGCAGTAAAAACACACACACAAAAAAAAAAAAAAAAAAGAAACAAAAGAAACAAACAAACAAACAAAAAAAAAACAGGACAACATCGCCGTGATCCTCCAAATAAGCATTGAAATTACACTCACATGGACACTCAGACAAGTACGGGGGCACATGCCTCAAATAATACCGGCACAACTCCTTCTTTCAGGGACTCTACACAAAAGGAAACGCACACACCGCGGAGTAAAGCAAAAAAAAAAAAAAAAAAAAAAAAAAGTTAAAAACCATCAGAGATTTCCCATTATTTTATTATTCACGCCACGTCGCATCACTCGCTCGCACAAATGACACAAATTTATACGCCCCCGTGCCTTTTGCCGTTGGTTTCACGAAAGAAACAACAAAAAGAGGAAACGGGAGTTAACGTTGCGTTTGAAGGGCGCAGCGGCCCAAAAGCAAAAAAACAACAACAACAAAAAAAGCACAGTTGAACAATCGACAAATTCTTCTGTCGTGCCGGCAGAACACCCAACCACCTCCCGCATCTTGTCAGCCATTCAGTCCTCCAAGCCACTCTCCCTCTCCTCCCAATGTGTGCTCCATTCCTCTGTCCACCCAACTCAACCCCACGCTAACAGCAGCCACATATATAAATACATGTGGATTCCCCCTTATTCCTTTTTCTTCATTATATTTTATTTCTGACTCCCCGGGCCATTTTCTCTCTCTCTTTTTTTTTTTCTTTTTTTTCTTTTCGTTTGTTTATTTGGCGTACGCCGCGGCAGCCCGCACTAACGTCACGCCCACGTCAAACACGGCGATGCCACAGTAAGAGGGGGAAAAGCACACACACGCAAAACAAAACAAAACAAAAAAAAAAGAAGTAAAACAAAAGAAGTGTGCAACATTTCATTTCCGAATGCCTCCTCCTCCTTCTCCTCCCCCCCACAACTTACACACAGCTCCAAAAAGGAAAAAAAAAAAAAAAAAAAAAATGGGGAAAAAACAAACAAACACAAAACACAGCAATAGCAGCAGAAAAAAAAGGATGCGGAAGAAAAAAAAATTGAAAAGCAACAACGACAACAACAACAAACAAGATATTGTCAAGCCTTCCCCTCCCCCCGCTCCTCCTTTTTACCAAACGCCTCAAGGAGGCCAAGAGCGGTTTCTCCGCAACGCTGGCGTATCATACAAATGCAACAATGGATTGAAAGTGCCCGCATTGAATTTAGTCTTCGAAAACACTTCTTCTGAAATCCCCTCCTGCGTTACGGAGCATGAACCTAAATCACCCAACTTGGCATCATGCTTTTCATCGTCACCCTCAGGGTCACTATAGATAGGGCTAGATGATACTGTGTTCATTTCCACAGCACCCAATGGAGGTTTTCTGTCTAATTCAGAAAAAGATCCAACATTTGTTGCCACAGATCCCCTCTTCTCTGTTTGCAGGAGAAAGAGGCACAAGTCATCTTTCACCATCGTTGTTGTACACCCCGCGGTATCCTGTGGAACCCTAGAAAACATATCCCAAGAGTACGACGATCTTCTGACAAGATTCTTTAAGGTCATCTTTTTTGCATTTATTTTTGAGTTATTTTCTAAACTTTTTGAAAAGATTGTCGGTTTACAGAAGAATTTATTCCCCTTGATTGATGTCTGCCAGGGTTCTATACTCTCTGTGTGGTAACTGGCATCATGTTTGTCATTGACCAACCGCTCCTTCTCTTGTTCCTTGTTCAATTCTTCCTTTGCGGTATCATCATTATCATTATTGTCATCCTCATCATTATGCAGAACTACTACTGGTAATGAACAAGTAATGGGCGTCGCATCTTCCTCTGTGAATCGAGCCAATGCACTCTTCACGTCCATTTCTTCCATATGTATGGATTGAAACAATGCAGTGGGTTCTTTTTCTTCTTCTTGCATTGCACCCTCCTTTATACCCCCCTGGACACTATCATCAATGGGGATAAGTTTGTCAGCAGCCTCCGTATGCTCCTCCTCAGAGCCCAGTATTCCCACATGGGCGATGCTTACTTGGGAATTCAGACTCTCAATCTGCACGTTATGTTCTATTTCTCTCCGGGTCTCAAAACTCACCTGAGAAGCGGCAGAAGGTGTCGTGTCATCGTGGTTTCGAAACGACACACCATGCCCTCTCGTGAAGAAGCAAACTTCATTCAAATCATGCATTAACGGTAACGGAATTTCCGGAAGTAGGGAGCGTTCAACGGCCGGAGATTCGCTCTGTGACGGACCGCCATTTGAAATAGGGGGAGTCGTCATGATGCCATTCAAACTCGCATCCGAGTCCGTGCGGGTTGCGACCCCTGCACTGGGACCGACGGGTTGCTTCGCTGGCGCCTTCAAATCAGGCCTAGAATTCCGAGACTCAAACGGAATGACATACCGGGGCCTTTGCGAGATGGAGGGGTGGAGGTACCAATCCCGCGGTATCACAGACTCTGGTATCTCCCTGACACGTGAACGATCCGGCGGTGAGGCCTTTGGAGCCTCCTCCTCAATCAAACGATGGACGTAAGTGGCTAACCTCCTTGGAACTAACTTATTGCACACACGTGCCGCACGATTGCACCACGTCGGTATTTGTAACTTCTGCACCGTCGACAACAATTCACAGAAACGCTGAGCAAAGTGGTTGCAGTTGCGATTGAGAATATGATAGTCACTACTCCGCCATTCATTTTCCAGCCTGTGAAGGATCGTGTCAACCTGCTGCGGGGAGTGCGTGGTGACGCCCAAGAAAAGCGTGCGGTAAAGTGTACCGGCGGCCTGCCCCGGGTACACACAAAAAAGCCCCGATGCGTTCGCGGACTCGACGCACTCACCGTACCCCCACTCAATGCCGTACACAACAACGCCACAGTGGTAGACCCCCATACCCACCTTCCTCAGCTGCTTGTTCTGCTCCAACAAACTATACACATTTACCTGAACTGCCGTTTCTTGAACTGGCCGTGAAATCGGTTTGGGCGGTGCACATCTCCGCAACCCCTTCTTCTCCATTTGTGAAACCTCCACTCGCTTGTCGGCTACACCATCTTCTTCATTTTGACAGCAACAAAGCACCATCGCCCCAATTCCCTCCCCTCCCCTCCACGACACCAAACACCACACCACCCCTTCCTTCTAAATCGTTTAATTCCCTCTTCTTCTCTTCCTTCCTGCACACCACACCACCTCGCGGACGTGTGTTTTTATTAAACGACACTTGCCGTAGAGAAACCCGCGGCGGCGACGGAAGGCGATACAAAATGCACTGAAAATCAACAGCAACAACAACAGTAATAAACAGAAAGAAATCAAATACAAGAAAAAACACAGCCACAGACAAACACACAGGTATAAATACTCACCACACCAAACCCCGGGGTTAGGGCGCCACAATAGACATGGACTGACAAAAAAGATGGGTAGTAACATATCACTGGAAATGATGCGCCGCTCCTCTCCACCACCTCCACCACCAATATCGGGAACAGAGTTCAAAAGGTCACTGTGATGCATGGAGAGGCATACTATACGCTCAACAACACTGCGGGAGGCGTGGATAGTGAACGTAATAAACGCAAAGAAAAGCCACCACCACCGCAACAACAAAATATGAAACTATCACAGGAAAGGCTGAAATCCACAAAATAGAAAAGTGAACTGATAGAAAAGCAAATGTAAAACAAAAAAAAAAAAAAATAAAATATAAAATATACTTTACTTCCGTCATCCAAAGGAGTTCAGCCGAGCGGATGCTTAAGGCTTCAACATTGAAATGGTGGGGAAGCAAAAAACAATGACCACGCTTTCTTTCTTCTCAAATATATAATACTTGCCTGCTTTCCTTCTTTTCTTTTCTTTTTCCTTGACTTTGTCAGGCCTGTGGTTTGCTCAACAACAACCGTGTCATGCAGACAACAGCGGAAATGACTCTCAGCACCGTCGTTTACTTGTAACTGCGTCGTAGGACGCATCTGGCGATAATGTTGTCATCACATTTCTCTAGCTTGTTCCCCTTTCCCCCTTCCCCCACCTCATGATATTACAATGCGTGAGGGTGAAAGCGTTGCATCTAAATCTTCGACACGCGACGTTTCCACTGATTGGTCGTCCGAGCCTGTTCGACGAATAACGAAAAATGGATCACCGCAGCCCATGCGCAGCTTTGCGTTTTCCTGCTCGAGAGAAAACACCTTCTCCTTGAGGCGGGTGACTATTTGGTTGTACAGAAGACGTTCCCTATCAAATACAGCGTTGCATTTTACACAAATATGGTAAGAGTTATTGTTGCGGTCAGTCTCTTCCACAACCCTCTTCCCGTTAGGGATATTGTGGCTTTGGAGGCTGGAAGAAAATTTCCCTCTACTCGCCACAGCAGGGCTGCTAGAACGACTGCTCCCACCTAAATGTGGATGCAGCGGTGGAGGAAGCTTGACCCTAGGCATTGGCTTGATACTTAATACAGAAGGCAATGGGGGTGAATTAAGCGATCCTGTCGACATGGTTTCCGTCTCCGGTTTACTCCGTCCCCCGCGTGGCGATGGAGATCGCGCGGCGGGACAAATCCCACCAGATGACGCACGCCGCCCATGCGACCCAAGACTCTGCACACCACCGGGTGATTTCAGGGGACATGTGGGCGAAGATGTCTGAAATCGACTTCCACACTCCATGCTGGCGGATCGTGAGGGCGGCTTGCTGCTTACGCTGATACTGCTTCTGCTACGAACAGGCAAAAATATATTAGCGTCGCTTCCTCTTATCCTTCTTGAGTTGTATGTTCCCGTGCACATCGGCGATCCGCCCCGAGAGGGTGGCCGGCTAATTGACGATGCTTTACTGATCGATGCCTGCTGCGTCGAATTCACAAGCGTATTCAGTTGGACGCCAAATAATTTCGCAAGCAGAGCTCTGTGCCCTATGCGAATCATTTCCACCGCTAAGGGTTCCCTTTTGTAATTTATTCTCCACGAGCCCCCACGCGTTGCCGTCGTTCCTCCCCTCACGGGAAGAAAGAGAACGCGGATCAGGGATGTGAACTCATCTGCCTCCTCCACGGTTTCCAACTCCATTTCTCCCGGCGTGACCTCCCGCTGCAAGACGTTATCAAAGACGACAAGCGAACGATACATAAAATTCCTCCTTGTCGCGATGTGGTGCTCGTGAATCTCCCTCACAATTCGGCTCCCGTTTGCCAAGATGCGGTATTCGCTGCTGAACAGCCTTCCGTTCACCTCCATTTTGGCTACAATTGGCATGTAAACGTCACTGTCAAGGCGGATGCTGAACGGCCCCTCATCCAAAAGAACGTACGACACGGGCGACCCCTCCACCCGGAACATCGGGCAAAAAAAGTCGTCCTGAATGAAGCGAACCCGACAGCGCGTGCCGACGTGATCGATGCGGTGTGCCACAGGGGCTCTCCGTCCCTCCACGTCCTCTCCCCCCCCTCGCGCACCCTGGGCGTCGTCGATGCCATTTGCGGGGCCACCCGAGCACGACAACGAGTCCATCGTGAAGGGAAATAATAATAATAATAAAGAAAAAAAAAAAGAAAACTAAACAACAACAATAAATTGCCTTGAAATTTAAATACAACTTAATACCTAAAGGCCACAACGCGCTGAAAGGGATGCCTCCCCCTCCCCTCCCCTCCAAAAAAAAAAAAAAAAAAAAAAAAAAAAAAAAAAAAATTGGTCACCGAGCAGCAACGACAAAAGGCCTGCTGCCGCCGCCGCCCGCACCGGCTGATTAAATCGCTACTGTCGACGAGAAACCAACAAACAACAAAAAAAGAAGAAAAAAACATCAAGCAAAAGAGAAAAATATATATATATACACACACACACACACAAAGAGACATTTGAGAAAAAAAAAAAAAAAGAAAAAGAAAGGGAAAGAAGGCAACCAAACACATCTCCAAACACGCACATGCATCCATAAAGTAGGAAACCACATATATATGTATTTGAGAGGGATACCGGCGAATGAGGAGGCCAGACCTCCTTCCAAATCAAATGAAAAACCTAAAAAAAAAAAGAAAAAAAAAAGAGATCACTCACTCACAAACACACAAACTCACACAAACACAACAAAAAAGGGACAGAAGGACAGGACGATAACGGCTAAAAAGCGTATGGAGATGGGCACACAAAAGGAGAGAGGGGGGAAATGAACAAAGGTAAAGCCAAAAAGAAAAGGAAAAATAATAGCAAAGAAAAATATATAACAAAGAAAGGGGAAAGAAAAAGTAGCCCGCGGCTAAAATAAATAAGTGCGGGCTCAGTCGATTCACATGTATGCATGTTTGTATGAATACTGCTCTCTCTCTCTCTCTGGGAAAAAATGCACCTCTTCCCTTCCTCATAAGGAGGAAAAAAGAGAAAAAAAAAGGTTTTGGAACCGTACATACATGCAAAGGACGTCTACCCCACCGACATGCAAACGTTACCCTTCACTTTCCCTTCCTCTCACTTATCATCATTCCTTCTCTTTATCTGCTTCCAATTTCATTTCCTTTTATTTTTAAATATATTTTTTCCCTCCCCCCTTCTTCTTCTGCTCCTCCTCATTTTATTCTGCCGGGTGTTGGGCAATTTTCTTCTCAGTTCTTCTTTTTCTGCTCTTTTCGTTGACGTCCCCTCCCCCTCCCTAACCCCCGTTTTTATTCGCCTGCATTCCTTCATAAAACCTCACATTTGTTTCTTCCTTTTTATTCTTAATGTCTACTTTTTGTGGACTTCCCATCCTTTCCTGCCACCCACCACCGCCCACTGCCACCACCACCACCACCTCTCTCTCTCTTTCTCTCGTTCTGTTCTTTCGTTAGGCCTACGGCTCGTGTTTTCTGTCTTTACATCTCTCATTCTAACCAATCACCCACTCGCCCACAATCTCTCTCTCTGTCTCTCCCTCCCTCTTCCTTCACGTCTCATACCACCGCACTGTACCTTTTGGCCATTTCTTGTTGACTGTTGCCTGTTTTCCTTCACTCCCACAGGACTCATTTTTTTATTCCTCTCTGGCCATATTATGCACGTACGCCCACGTAGAGGTAAATGCACGGCTTCATTCTGATAAATGCATCTCCTTCTCTCCCTTTCACTTCCAACATAAAAGGCACGCACACGCCCTTACAACGTACACACAAACAATGGGACATATATATATATATATATGTTTTCACTTACCACCCTTCAACGACGTGGTTAACGTGCTGGAGAGCTCCTCTTCCTCACGTAGCATGCCAGTAATACCATTCAGCAGTCCTAATATTGTTTCCACATCCTGCTTCTGCCGAAGCAGTAGCGTGCGCACGCGGTTCACGTATTCGTCGACAGAGTCCGAATCCTCAAAGGCTTGAATTGCACGGATCTCATCCTTGATACCTGTCATTTTGGTGTCAATGTGTCGGCGGTGGAAGGCAACAAGTTTCTCCTCGGCCTTCGCAATTTCCTCCAGAACATGTGCATGTACCTTGCGCACTTGCTTCTCTTCGTTTTTGGCCAGTGCACCAAGTTGAACGGCGTTGTCCTCCTCATCTTCCTCCTCCTCTTCGCTCCCATCTTCCAGGGCTTCAATGTGGTTTTGCACAATGGTGGCGATCTTAGGATCCCGTACTATAACTTCTGATTTGCTGCGGCGTCCCTTTCCAACCATAGACCTACTTACACGCTGCTTTGGCGGCGGCTTTGCCATTTCATTGCTGCTGTTGCCATCGTCCTCTACTGCGTGGTCACCCTCCGGTGACAGGAAGTTGTCCACCCACTCTGGTCGCGATTTGATGGGCGGTGGGGCCTCAAATGGCTTCGATTTTTTCGCAGGGCGACGCTCCGCCCTTTCCGCTGGAACCGGCTTCGATTCTCCGCCGAGGTCCTTCACGCGCTGCGTGTAACGGAGTGTGTTGAGTGTGTTGACGCAGTGGGCTGATGTGGGAGAAATTGTGGCAATCATCGTTGTCCGGCTATTACCAACAAATGAGTCCCGCAGCACCTCCGTTAAGATGGATCCCCGAAAAGGGACGTGGGATTTGCCCATTCCAAGTGCCCGAATACACTCTTTTAATGCGAGGAGGGACTTATTAATCTCCGCACCCTCCATGCGCGTCTTACGATCGCAGTCAAATGTGTCGGCACCCCGCTCATTTCCTGCCAGGTCAATAAAGGAGATTCGCCCAATTGTTTTGGCGCGGCGGTTATGCGTCTCCCTTACCTCCATTTGTAAGACTGCATGTGATCGACTACTTTCACTGTTGGCGCTTGTCTGCCCAGCAGCTCGGTAGGTGCTACCACGCGAGATGATGTCAAAGAGACCTTGAATGTCGGTTACCTTGTGCTCGCTTAGACCACAGATGTTAATCACCTTCTCTGCGTCCTCACGTGCCACCAGACGCTCCTTGTTATTCAACAAGTCAAATATTTTACGGCCGTAAATCTCATAGAAAGATATATACACCTCAGCGTTCAGTGGAGCAGCACGTGAGAAGATATCTTTGGCCGCGATGGCATACAGACCTGGCTCATGATCGTTACCGAGCATCGTGTGTGTCTTGCCGCTGCCTGTTTGCCCGTAGGCAAAACATGTGGCGTTGCCGTGATTAAAGAGAGTGCCAATAAGTTTCGAGCAGCAACGCTGGTACACAAGCGCGTTGTTAGAATTCTCATCCAACACTTGGTCGTATGTGAACTGGTGCCGCTCCGTGTAGGGGGTCAAGTCATACTTTACTTTGGGCTCATTTACCACCAGGTGCGGCGACTGCGCAACGACGATGTCTTTGTCAACGTCGGCGGTAGGTCGCTTCCGCACGGCAACGCAGATGCGGCTACTGCTCATCACCGCACCCTCTGAGAAACGCAAACGTCACCCCCTTTTGCTCGTCCTTTTAGCCCCAGACGTCTTATCCGTATTATCTTCCCCCCACCCCCTCTCCCCTCAACCGTCTGTATAAATATAAATTCGTGTATGTGCAATGTTGTATACAACCGTCCTTTCTCCCCTTCTCGCTCTCTCTCTCTCTCTTTTTTTTTTTTGTTGCTGTTGCTGTTGCCACCATTACCAAAAAACAACAACAATAACAACAAATGATGCGAGAAAAAGAAAGAGAAAAAACAGGGAAAAAGAAGTCATGGCAAAAGTGTGAGGGCGAATTAAAAAGAAAAAAAAAAAAATAAATAAAATAAACGGAAGCCAATCACATTACGGCCCAACACACACACACACACACACATGCGTGCATGCATGCACCCACACGAGAAATCAACAACAAAAACAACTAAAAATAACTCAAACAAACACATCCACGTCATCCGAATGCGTCGTCATGTTACAACGTCACGGGGGAAAAAAAACAAACAAAAGAAAAAATAATGCCTTCATGTGGATACATGAAAATGCACAAATTTTTCCCATTAGAAGGATGTGCATGTACGCGTATATGCAACAAGGACTTCATTCCTTCCCCAATTTCATCCCTCGATAATTTGGGTTTGCCTCTTCTTTTCGTACTTCGTTTTGAAGTTTACAAACCGTCAAACCCCATTTCTTCCTCGCTTTTTTCTTCGCACCCTCTACTCCTTTTGCCTCTCATCCCCCCCCCCAGGATAAACCGTATTGCATACAAGAAAATAGTTAAAAAAAGAAAGAAGATGGGACAAAAGGAAAACATACATATATTTGGACGTGCTCACATGCGTGTAATGCGTAGATAATATATTTGTACCAATATATATATATATTACTGGATCATTATGCCATCATAAATAGAAGATCTCTCTTGCTGGTTATTTCTTATCTATGCTCTTCTGGACTCCAGTTGCGGAACCCGTTAGGTTGTTCAGTGCACGCTGAGTCATCTCCTTCGTGGCAAAACAGGCAGCGTTAGCAGGGAAAGCGCGCAGCAATGCAGGACCGAGGCCCCGGTAAAAACCTCGGAGCCCACGCTCCTTGAAGATGCCCCGCACTGCACCTACCAGCGTTAGTTTCTCATGACTGGCCTGCACGCGGGTCTTGATGACATCCAGTGGAACCGCAAAGGACCACATGCCAATACCCCCCATTCCACCAGCAAAGAGTGATTCCGACACGGATGGTATCTTTGGATTGCTGCAGATGAGCAGTTTTGTGTATTCATATGCGCCAAACCAGGCCATGCTTCCTGGCACATCACGAACCATTGTCATTCCTGTGCCGCGGAAGAAACCACGAAAACCCTCCCTTCGATAGATGAACGAGATAACACCGCGCAGAGAACTGTCCGTGCCGGAGTTAAGAGCTGTCTGCTGACGAATCTTAAGCAGCTCGGCGGGCCCAAGTACGAGAGACCCCAACACTCCCGTGCTGCCACCGCATATCATTACATCCGTTATCTGCAGCGGCTTAGAGGCATCCAGGGCCTTCATCCAACGAATGAACTTCTCACAGCTGTCGTAGGCAACAAAGTAGAAGGCGAACACGACGCCCACGCCGGTCATGGGGGCTAGCACACCTTTGTAAAGAGCAAGAGGTCCATCCCTCTTCAAAATACTCGCCACACAGCTGAGGGCATTCTTGTGCTTGCCTTTGGCGTCCTGCAGAAGCGTTTTGACCGTGTCAAAGGGATGGCCCACAAGCAGAAGTCCAACGCCGCCCATCCATCCGCTGATGAAGCTAGTCAGCAAATCCATTTTCTCCTCCCTTTCTCTCCTACTTTCTCTTTTCTACGTCTTTTGATCGCTCTTGTCGGTACGCACTTCTTCCTGACACAACAGACAATTGCCATAAAGGGGAAAAAAGGAAGGAAGCAAGAAAGAAAGAAAAAAGCAAAGTTCGTGCGGCGGAGCGATAATGAGGCACGTCGCGTAACGGAGACGCCTCAACAGCGTCCCTGCAGAGGTGATGTTAAAACCCGCCACACACAAATACACACACACGCACACACGCAGTGAGGGGAGGGAGGTGGAGCGAAAAAAAAAAAAAAAAAAAAAAAGGAAACACTACAAACAAATGAATGGTCCAACTACTACCTCGCCCTCCTAAGAACCAAATTCCAACCACCATCACCACTACAGTTCCTTCGGCCCTCTCGCCCATTTCCGTCTATGCGTGAAGGGTTTGTTTTTTTTAAATTGTTTCCTTTTCTCCGTATGCCTCCTTCTCTGTCTCTCTTTGTCCCCTACCAAAATTACCCACTCTACGAAGAGAAGAAAAAAGTAAAACAAAACATTTTTCCTCCTCCACTCCTTTCCTTTCCGTTTCTCATTTTTATTCTTATTTGGCTCCTTCTCGTCGCACACGCAGTAAGGAGACGAGCAAAGAAGGGCCGGCCTCGCGCCCACGCCTTTTCTTTTTTTCCGCTGCCAATCCCAGATATAAATGCGCGTATTAATGTTTCATTTTCCTCTTTTCTCCTAACAGCCCCCCCGCCCTAACAAACTTCGCAACGTTTCCAAGACCGCCGCCTCTCCGTCCCGCATCGCGGGTTACACGAGAAGTCATGAGAAGTAACATCGCTGCCGAGCAAGTCCCGTCAAATAACACCTCCATTCTCCTCTCATCGCCCACACATATAACACACATCCCCCTCCACTCTACGAGAAGAGCATCAGGAAGGCAAGCATGAGTGCGAAGAGACCGATGGCTTCCGTCAGGGCAAATCCAAGAATGGCATAGTTAAACAACATCTTCGTCAGGTTTGGCTGACGTGCGCAGGCCACCAACAGGTTGCCGAAGATGGTGCCAATGCCAAGGCCGACACCCGCGAGTGCGATGGCGGCAAGTCCCGTGCCAACGTAATGCAGGCCCTGCACGGAAATGGCGACGGTCGACGCCCTACGCACCACCAGTGACGTGGACGAGGGGACCGCAGCGGCCACGCGGCGAGCAACTGGCGGGGTAATCATCAAACGGCGCATCATCTTGTCAATAGTTCGGCTCTGAAATTGATGTTTGATTATTTCGGCGTGTTCAGCGTTGTAAACGTTGTGGAGTCCTCTTTCTTTGTTGTTGGTGTTCGCAAATAATCCCCCGCCAAAATAAAAGACGGGATAAAAAGTCCACAAAACACACACACACGCAAAAAAAAAAAAAAAAAAAAGGACATGTAAGCGGCATAAAACGCCCAAAGCATAAAACACACATAAAAGGACAAAACCGCGCAAAAAAAAAAAGGAACGGGACTGCCATCGTCTCCAATCTTCTTTAAGTTAACTCTCCACACCTACAGTTATTTATCGTTCCCTCCACCGGCTTAAAGAAGGAAGAAATGTTGTCGTCGTAGTCTTCGTCGTACGCACAAAACTTCATGCGTTTTATGAAACCAACTTTATTTTTCTTTTGAGGGGGGAAGTGGTGGTGGTGGTGGTGTCGGTAGGAATGAGCGCCGCCCACGCATGTTTTCTTTTTCGGTGTTTCCATCGTTCCCAGCGGCCGCTTCCAAGATCTCTTCTCACCTCCTAATTAAAGAGAACAAATCCATGAAGTAAGCCTCTAGTCCCTTAAACCTTCCACATACAAAACTCTACACCTTAATTCACGCGTTGCGATGGCGACGTCCTCGACTGTCAAACGCGATCTCCGCCTTCTGGAACTTATTTTCACCCACATGCTCCTCACGCTTCGCCCGCACACGTTTCACACGTCCACGATCCATTTCCATTTCCCACATTGGATCCCGCACACGCTGGCAGAACTTTGGCGCATGTCGAGGCCGGGCGACAGTACTAGGTACAGATTGCTGCTTCATTTCCTCCAAAACCTCCATAACTTGGCCCCCGACAATCGCCTCCCTCTTCGCCTCTTTCACCATCGTCATCTCATCCATCGTCTGGGCTCTTGTTGTTGTCGTGGCTGTTGCGACCAATGCGGACGGTGCCGTCCGCTGCCGAATGGCCTTTACAATACCGCAGTACCGGGAGTTTAAATGACCATTCTGCAAAGCACTGGTATCCCTTTTACCATTGACTGGTGCTGACGAGACAACATTTTTAAGCGCGCCTCCACTCATACGCGACGGATGCTCATCTGCCTCATCAGAAGAGGAAGAAGATGCATAAGCGGAGGACGTCTCCCGCTGCCCATTCAACTGCTCACGGTGTACACCTTCCTCCTTCTTTCCTTCGTCCGGACCCTGTTGCTTGGCGGCCGCCTTCTTTCTCATCATCCGTCTTACTTCCTCCTCACTCAACGGACGACCCATGTCCTCTTCAGCACCTTCTCTCGCAGACCCAGGCAACATCGACGTCGTCATTCTTCCTGTTGCCGCCTCTCCCACAGGACGTCTGTCCAACAGTTGTGGCGTACGTGTTTCCTTCTTTTGCGTATACTTTGCACCTAAAGAAGACGGTTCCACCCGAGAGTAAAATAACATGTAAGCTTGCTGCCGAAGCGCACGTTCCTCATCGCAATAAGACACGCGTTCGTCATTGCACAAAAGCCACATTCCGTTACGAGCACGCACAACACTATAGTAATGGCCATAAACCAGTAAGTTACCCTCATGAATGCAAATGGCGTTGAGCTCATATAGACACGAGCTATCCTTTTCATCACCACCCGCATCACGACGATCTGCCGCCTTTTTTTTCATCCCCTTATGAGTACAAAACGGGGCCAAGTTAAGCTCCTTTGGATACTGAATGTACTTTGTGACCTTCCCTCCCATGCAGTTAAAACGTTTCATGTGAATAATAAGAACGGGTGGAAGTTTATGAAGCTGAAAACGTTTCGTTGCCTGTACACCCACCCCACGCGGGCTGACGTAGGAATGGCTGCACAACTTTTCCTCCTGACAGAGCTTTGCCAGGCAGTGATCCAGGGTTTGCCCCACAACTTCCACACTGAGGGTGACAAAAGGATCATATGTATTCGACACCAACACATCGCTGCTGGAACCACGGCTGCTTAATTTCAAATCGGCCGCTTCTTGAATTTTTCCTGCTTTTATGAGGCGATGAATTTCCTCCTGTCGACTCCAAGCGACCACGGAGCAGAGATACCCACCAATAACACGTTGCAACGTGCTTGTCTGCTCAATACAAGAACTGACCTTTCGTGATCCAATCTGACGAAAAAGAATGGAGCGGTGACAAGCATGCAGGAGTTGAACTGCAAACTCATGTGCATCCCCCTGTCGGCCAAGCTGAAAATGAGGAAATAGACCCTTAAGGTTGGAAACAAGAAGAGCCGCGCGACGCGCTCGATTCGATGGGGTGTGAATATTCCGTATAGTTTCCCCCAACGCATATGCATAGTCGTATGGCGCACCCACCACATGTGAACACGGAGCCTTAAAAGTACCGGCAAAATACTGCGCGAGAGCCGGTGTATAAGCTATGGCCTGAAGTACACTGTTTACAAAACATGTGTTGCCCATGTTCTCCAGTCCGCATCCAGCGGGCCCAACATGGCGCCATCGCAGATGAAGTAACTGACGCAGCTGCTCATTACGGCACAACATCTGCTCCTCCTCAATATGCAGCGGGTCATCGTCGTCAATGTCACTTCTCTCTGACTGTTCACTCTCGTTGGACGATGCCTCGTCGGTGTTATCCTTCGCCCTCCCATCGTGTGCAACCTGTCGTGTGTGGTGGGGGTTTAACACAATTGCATGTCGCGGGTAGCTAACAACGGAGGGCTTTCGGTACCGCTCAAACTGAATCGGTCGAAAAATGACGTCGCGCCCGACAAATCCATTGGAACCGTTCATGAATTCCATGTTTTGTATTGTTTTCCTTTTCCTTTTTAGTTTCTTCTTTCTGTCCCTTCACCGCGCCCCCCTCCCCCACCGCCGCCTCCGTCAAGGCGTCACCCTGTCTGCGGCTGTGAGCCACCAGCGACGGAGCAGAAAACAAGAAAGACGAGAAGAAGAAACGAGGGTGGAGTGCAGAGTTGTCACGCCCAACACCGTCAGCATAAGGCCATGCAGCCCTGAGAGGGAAAGAAGAAAACAGAAAAACAGCAACCGAGCGGAGCCACAAACTTTTTGTCATTTTGTGAATATATCTGAAGGGTAAAAATATCCAGATCCGCCATTTACGCAACACCACCAAAAACAACAAATTCCGTTTGCTTTTGTGTGGAATAAAAAAAGAAATAAGAAAAGAAATATCCGTTATTGCGGCTCGCGCATGTCCCCTCATAAAAGCGTCCGTCCTCGTTTAGCGGCTCAGGTGGAGACCCATCGGCGAGGAGTATTCGCCACCAGCCGGTAGCGGCACGGCTGCCGGGCACCCCTTTAGTCTCCTGCAGCCACCCACCGCCGTGCACAGTTCGCTTAATTCTTTCAGGACTGTCGTCTCCGTCGGTCGTGAGCGAAACATCCGTGACAAGAGTTGGCCCACCTCCTCTGTGTGGTTCGCTGCCGCCGACGATTGCGTCAAGGGCGGGACAAGTCCAGACTGAATCTGATGAGTCAACTCTTCTCTTTTCAAATTCTGCCACGCCACGGTTCCTTCAAAAAGGAAAAAAAGAAGTTGGGCCTGAAACCACATGTCACTGCTACCATCGCACAAACGCCCACGACGCACTATGTGGGACATTTCCACGCTCCATGCGTTCCTGACATGAAATTGCCCACAGGCTTCATAGGCCTCGTATGTATTAAAAAAAATACAATTGGAGCGTCCATGACAATAAAAACACCGACAATGTGTGCTCAGATTGCTGTATGGGTACCGCGTATTGGCCAGAGGTACTGCAATCCCCTTCTGTATGGTATCAATATCAATAAGCCGCAGAGTGTAGAAACCGTCTTTTTCCTTTTTGAGTAGATATTGACTGGGGTGGTTGTCATCGTATGAAAAGAAGCCAGCAGGGTGTTCCTCGTGCATAAACTTAAAGATGCAGAGAATCTGGATGGCAATCTCCAACCGCTGCCTTAATGATACTCGCTTACGATACGCCTTTAAACTCAAGAGCGATTGTAATGTCACATGATCGGTAAGAACAGACTGAATCTGAAAGATTCCATCGTACTTGGAGGAGTAGCAGCTAAATGTCGGGTAATGAATTAACGGGCTTCGTTTCGCCCTCCCCTGCACAAATTCATAAAAGCCTTGAAAGCTGAAGTAATGGTACGGGTGAAAAAGCTTTACAATCGCCTTTTCCTCCTGCCACAGCCCGTGAAAAACCGCCGTCTTCTCTCCATACTTAATTACTCGAGAAAGCACAATCTCATTCGGAAGGTGTTCGCATAAAAGTGGGTGTGTGAATCCCCCCGCCATGACAACATGGTGTCCACCAGAAGAAAGGTCTTCCGACGCCCCTTCTTGACGGGAATGAACGCCTTTGAAACAGTCTATGAGAATCACGAGGGGTCCAACAGGTGATCCATCTTTCCACTCATAACCGACACCCGCCGAAATTTGACTGAACGCGCAGCCCTTCTTCACTGCAGTCCTAAACAGAGTGTCCGTTAAGTTCAACCCACGCCGTGTTTCCAACTCGTGACTCATTATAAAGTACGTTGTGGTCGCCGCACCCGCCACCATCTCCACAGTCCCCTCCAACGTAGAGAAATTCGCAAATCCCCTTTTTAAAAGGTACCGCGTGCTCACCACCTGCACGTCACTAAATACACCGCCAAAATCATTGAAGATGCCACGATAAAGGTCAGATGATGTGTTTCCACACCGCTCAACATCCGCCTTCATCACTTCCTCAAAAAGTGTTTGTGACGACGGAAACATCAACCCACTTGCCTCTGCCCTCTTTCGCATGCGAATAATTTGTTGGGGAAGCTGATCCACGATGCTACGGTTTGATCCCTCCAAAATATCTTTCTTCCCAATGCTCTTGGTGTTCGTTCCGTGGCAACTCCCATTCGATGGGAACAACACTGTGACCGGCGCATCTCTTCCCTGCCCGGGCGGATTATGATAGGCTTCACGGAACACCATTGAACACGCTTTTATAGCCCATGAAGAAACTAGTGCGCAGCGCAGAACCCCTCTGCCTAATACTTGTTTCAGCAGCTCGGGCATCGTCCTTTTTTGCCGTTGCAGACTCATCTTCACAAGAAGAATAGCCTCACGATCAAATGCTTCGTCGTTTGTGTCTATTTGAACTCGTGCTGAGTTGGCCGTGGCATGTGCACTACTACCGCCACTGGAGGAAGGAGGAAATAGTGGTTGCAGGCGTGCTTGCGATACTGGCAATTGTGTTTCTATACCTTTTCCCTCCCAAAATAAAACCACAGCGGGTGGCCAAAAAGTAAAGAGGAACCAAATAAACAACACGCATGCAATGGCAAGACGTTTCCGCCTCATGCGCGGCCTCCTCCTAATGTGCATTGTGTGCACACCCGTACCTTTATTTGTGGCCGCCTCCAGACCCATGAGCCAAAAAAAAAAAAAAAAAAAAAAAAGAAAGAAGGAAAATAAATAACTAAAGAGTTGCCTCAAAAACAGAGGTAATCAAAAAGGGTCAACGCACAAAAGCAGCAGATTATTAATTTCTCTCTATTTCCCTTTTTTCTCCAGAGAGAGAGGGAGAGAGAGAAAAATAAATTATCATCACGAGACTTGGTCTTCCATGTCATCAGGCCTTAAGCGCTTTTCCAGTGTACTGCCAAGTATAAAAGGCGTTCTACGGGCATTATAACGGCGTATTTCCTCAGAACGCGGCGACGGCGCTAGGCAAATAGATCCCTCCTTAGAGGCTGTAGAAAAAACAGAAAGATCAGCCGCGCTCGCACCAGCATGAGGCTTCACAGAGGACGCTGCCGATGAGGAATTCGCGGATGCAGGCCGAGTTAAAAACAAAGTCTTCACAGGATGAGAAACAATGGGGGCACAAACGGTGGTTTCACTCGAACAACTAGACGTATGGGCGGCCCCGCTACGCTCGTTAAATGACTTCGCTGCAACTGCAACATGAAAGTTCGTTCGTTGTTGTGGAGAATTTTTCGGCGTAGGGGAATTTGCCGGATGATTCGTTAACACTTCATGCAACGTTACCTGCCTTTGGATTTGTGGTGGTGGTGGTGTCACCGTCACCGCAGCAACAGGAGACGATCCAGCGCCAGCTGTACCCAAAACTGGCATTGAATGAAAAACTTTACGGGCTTCGCGCTGCTGACGCAGTTTTGCAATGTCAAAAAGAACATTCTCTGCAGGTGCCACTGCTGATGGACTTTGAAACGGTGTGTCCGGCGATGTATCCGCTCGAGGACTTTCGTCCGATGTTTTTAAGACTTCGGCATTCGAGTCGCTGCTTTGCGTCAGTGGACGTGATGGACGCGAACCGGAGTGAGAGAGAAAACCCTCCAGTGTCAGTTGCTTCTTCTCCGGCGAGGATGGCGTGAGAGGGACGTCGGAGCGGAGGATTCGGCGTGTGTCAGCCCCCGCGCTCCATCCTTCACCGCCAGCTTGGCTGTCTTCAAGGACAGCATGCGTCACGTTTAATTTCGTTTGCAGCATCGGCCAAATGACACTATCAGATGTTCCCTCCGCGAGGAGATATTTGATGACGCATGCAGATGATTGTCCCATGCGGTGAACACGGTCCTCACACTGCAGGTGGGTACTTGGATTCCAATCCAGCTCCGCAAAGACCACCATCGTGGCACAGGTGAGATTGTGACCCACACCACAGGAGTGCATGGACAACACCGCGACATGGCAATTAGTGGACGTTCGAAAATGCGTCGTCAGCGCCTCTCGCTGGGCTGCTGGTGTCTCTCCTGTAATGTAAATGTAGTCTAGGGGCTGCTTAGGTTGAACGCTTTCCACAGCCTCGCGAATAGCCTCCATCATGCATTGGTGGTGGGCAAAGATGATCACCTTCTGCCCAGATTCCACCATTTGCTCCGTCGTGCTCTTCACGTAGTCCTGCACAGCGGCTATTTTGGCCCGAGCCGTGGCAATCTTCAGGTCAAAGGCGGTCATATTTCTTGTTGCGGTCACGCCGCCGGCTGTACATGTCGTTAAATTCCCACCGGTACCTTGAGCCATGTTCGTCGTGCTCGCCACGTCTCCTAACGTGGGGAGCGTTGCCCCGTCCCTAAATGAATTTCGAAGCGCCGACACACTTTTTTCAAGTGCCTTCTTTTCTTTCGGTGTAATGTACACATACAGCAGTTGACGGATCTTCGATGGCAGCTCATTCCCAAGCTCCCGCTTCGTGCGACGAATGACAAACTGCTGCAGCAGAACATGTAGTTCACTCATGTGCGAGTGGCCCAAGTAGTCCACACCAAAGCGACCCACAAATGCGTTACAGTACCTCGCAGCAAACAGAGACTTGGACGGGGTCCAGGATGGATGCATGATAGTCTGTAGTTGGGGGTAGAGCTCAATGGGCCGCGATAACGTGGGTGTGCCGGATAACAATAACACACGACGAGCAACACGACATAACTTAAGAGCCGCCACCGTTCGCTTGGAGTCTACCGTTTTAATATAATGGGACTCATCAAGTATAACCACCTGGAATGTGGTTGACTGAGTATCCAGACTTTTCAGCGATGAATACGGCACAATAACGGCACTGTGAACATCCGTCACACGTACCTTGCTGTTCTGAAAAATAGCGATCCGCCCAATGGGAATGCTGCAAAAACGCATGAGCTCCTTGGTCCAATTTTCCACTAGTGACAGGGGACACACAATGAGCACAGGCCACTCGTTACGGTAGTGGTGGGCCACTGCCAGTGCCTGAACCGTTTTGCCCAGACCCATATCATCTGCAATCATCCCACGACCACCGCGTGCGATGATGAAATCCACACCTTTCTTCTGAAACGGCCGC